TCTCTTTAATTTATTTTGATCCTTATCTTGACTTGATTTTTATTATAACTTTGACTCAATAATGACTTGGTTCATATTATGTTTAATTAATCTTAGTAGGTCTTCTATTGAGACTATCTATTTGATTTAGATTTAATTTCAATGACCAAGTATCTCAATCTTTTCTCCAATCATACCCTTTGATTTAGACTAGCTCTTTCTCTTAGTAATTAATTTTGTATTAGGTAAGTTATGAGGTTTGGTCATGCTCTTTGGCTATACATTATTTTAAATTGACCTTTGTTAATAATTTATCCATGTTTTTATGTTAAGGCTTGTTCTTAAATATGGTGATGCTTTTTTTAGTCTTATTTTTTAGCATGACCACTCTCCTGATTATGTTATTACCTCTCTTAGTCACACTCTTTTGACCAACAACCTCTAAATTGATCATGCCCTATTAACCTAAGTTTGACCACACACTCTCCACAAGATTTTGTTTTGTTTTGTTTTTTTTCATTTAGTAGTACTCATTAGGCTAAGTCACTTCTAGATGAGATCAATTTTGTTTGATCTTATTACCCCTTTGACATAGTGGCCTTCATTTTTAGGAATTGTTTTTGGACTTAATCATATCATATTTAATTGATTCATATCATGACTTGATCATATACTCTTAAATGAGTCATTCTATTGTTCATTCATATCTAGTGGTTGAGCACTTTTGATTTTGAAAATATACTTATTTTCAAAAAAATTATTTTCTTTTCAAGTGGATAATTTCTATTTGGACTTGCCCTGCACTCTATATATTTAAAATTCTTCTAAGTGGTAGGAAGCATTTCTATCTTTCAAATGTTTGTAACACATTGAAACACTTGAGTCGCAAGCCTAATAGTTCATGGCCTAAACTACCTCGTCCCTTCAAATTATTGTATTTTTTATATGTTTGAGATTAATCTACACTTGACTAAGTTGGCCAACCTATAGTTTTAAGAATTGGTCTAAAATGGAAGACATATGGCTAATTAAAATATTTTTTGTTAGCTCGGAGGCTATTTTTTGTTGCTTAATTTATTTCGCTATTTTGTGTGCTATAATGAGATATTTTCCTTATAAGTGTAAGATATACAGCTAGGGATTTATGTTATATTTAAATTCCATTATATAGTGGATCATGCATCAAAAGATTAAAATATCAACTAAAGCATTATTGCCAAATAATCTCTATAATATGATGATTTTAATATATTTTTTATTATAATATATATTGTGTTATGATGGCCCATTTAATATATTTTACTTTGTATTTATCCTTCTTAATTTAGAAATTTTTGTATGTGCAATAACAATATACAATTTTCCTAAATAAGTATAGATCCAGATTTAGAAGTGCCCAAAACTAGCTAGGATTAGAATGCCTCAATTTAGATAACTTAGTTCATGATTGCTGAAAGAATGCCTCACTATTTTGTCTGAGTCAACATCCTTCATAACTAAGTAGTTTCAAACCTGATAGACTATGAAGACATATGTTATTTACTTGATTTGACTTCACTTATATATAAACAAAAAATAAGAGAATATTTTGAAAGCAAGTGCATTATTTTAACTTTGTTCTATTAGAATCTTTAAAGTCCTGCTAGTAAGATTTTGATTTTCCAACAAATAAATACAGATATGACACATTCATAATCATCTAGACGATCGGATTGATCAAACAATCACAAGAGTCTAAATCAGAATCATGAATTAGTCATCATCATCACTAACTACGATCCTTTCGACAATTCTTATCAAACTACGATCCTTTTAATCTTTGTCACTTGCTTGAGAAGGGTCCGTTGTCAGCAATTGAAATATTAAAAAAAAGAAATAAGTTAAATCATTGTATTACACGACCATCTAATACGGCTGTTAAGGCAAGGCATTTTCATCATAGCATCCTATTGACCCCACATGATAATCAGGTCTATTTTGGGCTTTAACTTGTAGTCGGCCATCTAATGATCACATGACAGAAGAATTACAGAAGAAAAGAAATGATTTAACTCATTGTGTTATTCAGCCATCAAGGCAAATAGTTTTGGGGGATCGTTAGCGATTGAACATGGGAGCCGGGGGAGAAATTTTTTCGCTCAACCACTGTGCTGCACCGCTTGTCCCGGCAAGTAGTTTTCACAATGGCATTCTAGTGACCCCAAAAAACAACGGGACTATTTTGCACTAGAATGTATATATATATATATATATATATATATATGACTTGATCAACTTGACTTGATTATTATCATATCTAGGGGTGTCAAAAATGGGTTGCGAGTCGAGTTCGGGTCAAACTCGATGTTGACCCTCTACTGTTTGACCTGACCCTATTCTGGAAATAGACCAGAAATCTGAATATGTACCCAACCCGCCCCGACAATCTAACCCGAGCGCAAAGCAGGCAAGCGTGTGTGGGTTGCGAGTACACGAGGTCGAGGGTGGATGAGGCGAGGCCCGGGTGCGGGAGGTAGGGTCGAGTCGCAAATGCAGGTGAGGCAGGCTGCGAGTGTGCTAGTGCGGGGGCTATCATCGCGTGGGCGCGTTCAGGTCATGAGACAGGTCACTAGTGTGGGACGTGGGGTCGAGCTTCGAGCACGAGCAAGGCAAACACGAGTGCGCCATGTATGGTGTGGGATGCCAGACGCAGAATTGAGCCTATTAATGCGAGGATTCAAGTCATCCGAGTAAACTTCGGGTTTTCGGGTCAACCTGAATCTTACCCAATTTTAAAAAATGGTTAAGAAATTTGAACCCAGACCCGACTTGTTTACCAAACGGGTTGAACCGAACCCGGAACTTTCCAAGTTGGGTCTGGGTCCGAGTTTCGGGATTGTCAAATACTATCACCCCTAATCATATATTGATTTCATGTTGGCTTAATCATCTTGATATTGACTTAATTTTTTTTTTACTTTGATTTGACTTGATTTTAACTTGGCCGATTTGATTTATTTTATTTTAAATTTAATTTAACTTTATCTTAACTTAGGCTTCGTTTGAGTCACCTTTCTTGCTGCTTTTTACCATAGCTTTTTAACATACAAATTATTTTATTTTTCTGGCAGGCCCGGTAGCGCGGGCAGGTCCGAAGCAGCGGGGCAACTTCGCGGGCAGGTCCGGGGCAGTGGGGCAGCGCGGGATTTTTTAAATTATATAAACGGGTTTTCGGGTTGACCTGGCAACTCGCCGGGTCAACCCGAACCCGACAATTCTGCGTTCGTGAGGCTTACGCCTCACACCGCATCGAGGCTTACGCCTCGCCTCATAGACGAAAAATACCTCGAGGCTTATTTACGCAATTTTAAACCTTGTTCCTACCAACAAACGATGTTCACTAGCATCCTATCCTTGTCTTCCTAGTCACTTGATCTCCCTTTATATCAGGAGAGTGACAAAGTCAATAACCAACTGTTGCTCGACTTCTTATGTTTCACATTGATTGTTGATCGGTACTAGCCTATGACCGATGATTGACATATGCTAGCTATTGATATTCAACTTGTCTTCACGATTGCCTTGTTTCCTCTTCTATTAGAACAACGATCAAGATCATTGGCCATCTTTGCATGCCTTTCGACATTCCCTATTGATTGTCGTTTGATACCTAACAATGACGAAATGTCCTATGTTCGTCAGAAGAATGACCAAGCCGATTGCTCACAATTGCCCGATTTTTTATTTTCTCTATCAATGGTTACTCGATGCCTACTAACGACAGGCATATATCAGCTATTGCCTTCCAATGCGTGTCTTCCATGTCTCCTAGTCTATGATCAAGTCAACCGCTTACCATTATCTACTGATAACTTTTGACTCCACTTCTACCAAGATGAGCAATTATTAGGTCCTTTCACTGGATGTAGAGGAAGGTTCGGTTTTAG